GGGGAGGGTGGGTGATGGGTATTGAGGAGGGCACCTTTTGGGATGAGCACTGGGTGTTGTATGGAAACCAATTTGACAATAAATTTCATATATTAAAAAAAATGTGTTTTTTTTTATGTTTATTCTTGTGAGAGAGAGACAGCATGAGCAGGGGAGGGGCAGAGAGAGAGAGGGGAGACACAGAATCCGAAGCACGCTCCAGGCTCTGAGCTGTCAGCACAGAGCCGGATGCGGGGCTCGAACTCACCGTGAGATCATGACCTGGGCTGAAGTCGGACGCTTAACTGACTGAACCACCCAGGCGCCCCCAGATGCTTTTTGATGTTACTAGTCTTATGGTGTTGTTCTCTTTAATTGACTGTTGTAATGAATTATACTGATATGTAGTGTGGCCCCATCTTTGACTTCCTGGGATAATTCTGTTTGGCTAGGAGGAATTTTTCTTATGAGACAAGGTTGGATTTGAATTAGTAATATTTTATTTAAAAATTTTGCCACTAGAAGAAAACTGTTTATACTTTTCTTGTCTTTGTACTATATTTGCATATGTCGATATTAAGGTTCTGCCACTTTTTAACAGGAATCCAGGAGATTTCTATCTTTTTATATGTTAAAATGGCATAGAGATTATTTTCTTTAAGATTCAGCCATTTTCTTTGTCCATTCATCCATGCATGGACACGTGGGTTGCTTCCATATCTTGGCTATCATAAATAATGCTTCAGTAAACATAGGGGTGCATATATCTTTTTGAATTAGTGTTTTCATTTTCTTTGAGTATATACCCAGTAGTGGAATTACCAAATCATATGGTATTTCTGTTTTTCAGTTTTTTGAGGAATCTCCATACTGTTACCACAGTGACTGCACCAATATACATTCAGCACTGGTCTTTTAAAATCCGAAAATTAGGGGCGCCTGGGTGGCGCAGTCGGTTAAGCGTCCGACTTCAGCCAGGTCACGATCTCGCGGTCCGTGAGTTCGAGCCCCGCGTCAGGCTCTGGGCTGATGGCTCGGAGCCTGGAGCCTGTTTCCGATTCTGTGTCTCCCTCTCTCTCTGCCCCTCCCCCGTTCATGCTCTGTCTCTCTCTGTCCCAAAAATAAATAAACGTTGAAAAAAAAAATTAAAAAATAAAATAAAAAAATAAAATAAAATCCGAAAATTGTAATTATTTTCTTTTCTCTGGTTACTGGTCTTAACGGCCTTTGGGAGCGGGGGGATTAATTTCGGTAGTTTATGTTTGCTGGGGATTTTATATTCTCATAGAGCTGCGTGCGATACATTATTTTGTTCACTCCCACCTTATTCTTCTCCATTAATACTGCTTTCGCTATTCTAGAGGCTGTGCCTTTCCATAGAAATTCTAGAATATGCTTGTCTGTGGATGTTGAACATATTCTCTGGTGCTTATTTGTGCCCCCTATGTCGTGTTTGGTGAAATCTCTTCATGTCTTTGGCCCATTTTCTAACTGGATTGTTTGGTTCCTTCAGTATTGAATTTTGAGAATCCTTCATACGTGGCAGTTATGAGTCTTTGCCAGATACTTTCTCAAAGTCTGTAGCTTGTCATTTCATCCTCCTCACAGTGCCTTTTGCTACAGTTTTTAATCTGGTGAAATCAAATATATGTGCATTTTCTCTTATTGATCATGTTTTTGGTGTCGTATCTAAGACGTCTCACTAAGCCTTAAGTCCTGATGAGTTCCCCCCACGTTGTCTTTTAACACATTGACGGTTTTACATTGTGCATTTGAATCTATGATCCATTTCAGGTTAAGTTTTTATGAAGTCTGACATTTCAATCGAGATTCATTTTGTTTTTTCCTCATGAATGATCCAGTTACTCTGGCACCATTTGTTGAAAAGACCTTCCTTCATCCATTGAATTGTTTCTGCGCCTTTGTAAAAAAAAAAAAAAAAAAAAAAAAAAAAAAATTTGAAGGAGGTTGGGGGGGGGGTTTGGTGGTTAGGTGGCTGGGATGGGGGGGTGTGTCTGGCCCC